ATCAAAGCAGACAAAGACTCGGCTTTTATGTGTATAGCTTTGCAAAACTGGTTAAAATCTGAAGGAGTAAATATATCAGTAACAACCAGCAAAAATGGTGTATCTGATATAGAAAGGTTTCATAAGACAGTAAATGAAAAATTAAGAATCATTAGTAACGAAAACAATATAGAGGACCGGTGTACAAAATTCGAAGTAATCTTATACGTGTACAATCATAAAACAAAACACAACACAACTAATAGAACTCCCGCAGATATTTTCTTATACGCAGGAACACCAGATATTAACACTCAACAAAATAAAATCAATAAAATAGACAGGCTAAATGAAAATAGACATGATTTTGAAGTTAATACGAAATATAGACAGGCACCATTAGTTAAAACAAAGATTACCAATCCTTTCAAGAAAACAGGTTTAATAAGACAGGTTGACAACAAACACTTTGAAGAAACAAACAGAGGCAGGAAAATCACACATTATAAGTCAAAATTCAAAAAACAAAAGAAGATTAACAAGAGCAAATATGATAATTCCAGACAAACCGAGGAAGATGAAACATAACCAAATCATCCCTATATTATCCCTGATATTAATCTCGCTTATAAGTACAACCAAGGCACAAAGTATCGAAATAAGTCCAATAAACACAAAAAACGGATATCTGATATTTAAAACCGGATCAATGGAAATCCCAACGAATTTTAAATACCACCATTTAAGTATAAATTTAACAAAGACCGAAATGACATTCGACAACCTACTGGACGAAGCCAAAGAATTCCAACACATTGTCCAAATCCAATGTTTAGTTGAAAAATTAAAAAGAGAAATGAATGGGTTAAGAATAGTCAGAAGAAGTAAACGCGGGCTTTTAAACGTGGTAGGTTCAGTCTATAAATATTTGTTTGGCACATTAGATGAAGACGATAAGGAAGAACTCGAAATGAAAATTAATAATCTAGCAGATAACTCCATCCAAAATCATGATTTAAATATGATTATTGACGTTGTCAATAATGGACTTGACCTAATAAACAAATTTGAAGATTCTAAAAATAAACAAGAACAAGCTGCAGTTCTGATTTTAAATCTCCAACAATTTACAGAATACATAGAAGAAATAGAATTAGGAATGCAACTAACTAGGTTAGGTATATTTAACCCAAAATTATTAAAACACGATTATTTAAAACAGGTTAATTCAGAAAAGTTGTTAAAAGTAAAAACATAAACTTGGCTCAAAACAGACACGAACGAAATCCTGATAATTTCCCAAATTCCTAAAGAAATAACGAAAACTCCTGTATATGAAATAATTCCATATCCAGATGAATTTGATAATATCTTAACAGAAAACACATTTGATAAATATTACATTTATGAAGATAAAGTGTTCGATGAAAACACAGGTCAAATTATTTTCGACAAATGCATAATTGGAATCCTAAAACAAGAACCGACAAAATGCAAATATGTAAAAACTCATAAAAATTTCCAAATAAATTACATCGAACCAAATATTTTGTTAACATGGAATATACAAAAACCAATTATAAATCAAAATTGAATAAGCACAGAAGTTTCGATCGTTGGTAATAATATTGTTAAAATAACAAATTGTACTATACAGTTAGATGAGTTCATAATATCCAACAACATAGCAGATTATACACAATCAATTTATGTTAACAACAATATCACAAAAATCGAACCATTGTCATATATTCAAACTAAAGAAATAATCGAATCACATATAAAATATTGTAATACATTTCAGATAATATGTTTAACCACATTTGTAATAACTATAATAAGTTTGACATTATATTTAATTTACAAATTTAAAAATATTCCTAAGAAACATATTGTAAAATATTCTAAACGTGAAGAACAACCAATCATAGAAAATAAGAATGTAAAAACTAATGAAGAAAATATTGTAACAGAAGATATTATGTTATACCCTACGTTATCGCCCTGAGGACAGGCCAAATTCAAAGGTTGGGGGAGTGACATGTCCATATTCCTATGAGACTCTGCATATATTTACACAACACATACACAGTCCCATAACACTCTGAATATACCCATTACTTTATGTATCCACAATATACCCTACACTACCCTAGAATTACTCACCCTTGTAACAAGAGCCCAAAATCGAAGGCAAACGGAAAGTCCCCAAAACATGTTATCACCCAAAAATGTAGACTAAACAACTCACCCCAATGGTCACGTTCACACGTTCAAAGATAATCAAAGTTCGGCTCGCAGACACATAAACTCCTATTTCAAAAACACATAAACTCCTATTTCAATCCAAAGACATTTCAAAGTCGTAAAACCTAAGAGCGCACTTATATCCAAGAGTCAAGACACTTGAATCCAAGAGTAATTAAAGTTTCACTCAAAAGAAACTGAAAGTTCTCAGAACAATTTTACAACTCACTCAAATCCCGAAAAGCTCGAGACCGAGGCTTGATCATCAACAAAATCAGATCAGCAAGTTAAGTTCAGTTTGAGACCTCAAAGTAATCGGTCGGTGTTCTTCACAAATAAGTTTAAAACTCTGTAAACCACATGTTGAATAAAATAAAGTTACATTTTTTTATTTAACCGGAGTGACAAACATTTAATTATATATATACACAAAATTTCAAATGACCACCTGCGAGCGGTTATAGAATGTCTTTGACTATAAGTGATACCAGGGTGGTTCTGATCTCCCTTATCGCACTTAAGAATGTTTTCTCAAGTAAGGGATGAACAAGGCTTTTGGTGGGATATTAGAAATAAGATAATAATCTCGATTATTAGATTTTATGAGCTCAGTCACTTTGTCAATCGATCCAGAGCCATAATTTAAACCATGCTAGGGAACAGTTGTTGTAAGAGTTTTTGTTTTTAATTTAGAAGAGCATATTCAGTCTTGAAATAAAGCTAAAGATTGCTATATAACCCGTTTCCTTTTTTAATGGTGGTTAGGCGTGCTTGAGGCCATAAACATCAGCTATTACGGGTTTTCTGATAAGTGAACATTTAGTGTGCGATACGACAAAAATACAAGTGCATTAAAAATAATCATAAACAAAAAAAAAACCAATCAAAAACCTAATTTACCCATAATTAAATAACAACATTATGGTGGGCTCGCTAAAAATTAAAAGCAGCAGCATCTACAAGCAGCAACGTCTACAGCAGCGACCAAGAAAACAGCGGCATCTACAGCAACGGCGAAAGCAGTGACGACACCAGCGACCAGCACAAAAGATAAGATATATATAATATATATATAAAATGGTGTCCGAGCAAATAATGAATCAGCTTAAAGGGCAATCAGAAATAAACAAAGCCCGTAGGGAAATAATCGAAAAAGGTGGTATACATTTCTGAAACGAAAAGGTAGAGTTTGTAATAGAGTTAGAAAGAGAATTTATAGCCAATCATACATTTTTAATTAAGCTTGGTCCAGTAGACCATGAATACTATACAAAGAAGAGGTATGATCAGGTATTGTCGACGATTTATCAATTAAAGATCGATTATGAGGCTCTTAAAAAAGAGGCAGAGTTTAAAAAGTGCATAGACATCAGTTAAAAGAACGAAAAGTTAAGCATCTCAGGGAATATAAAAAATAAAACTCGTTTCCTCTGGCAAAATAAAAAAAAAGTCCGAGCTTGTAGTGTAGATTTTGATTTAACCCTTAGCGAGTTGGAATTTGACATTCAGAATATTTCGACTTAAATAAATGAGCAAATTAAGGATAAAGTTGTTAGTAATTTGCAGGTGGTGGGTAAAATGTAAAATTTGCCAAGCCTACCAAAAATTGAGGTGCCCTCATTTGACGGTGACGCCAAAGAGTGGGACCTCTTTCAAGAACTGTATGTCGAGTTGACACATACAAGGGACAATCTAAGTACCTCCCCAAAATTTAATTATTTCAAATCTGCTTTTTAAATCTGCTCGAAAAGTTGTCGCTCACCTATTGTTGGGCTCCGCAGAAAACTACGATGCCACTTGTCAACTCCTAACCAAGACGCAGTCGTAAGACTTTTTCGGAACAGCTTAATCGCCTGATGGAACTTTTAATTTTTAATATTTGTTCTGACAGGCAATTAAAAATTTTTACTGACACCATTAATGAAGCGTTACACATCTTAAAACTGAAGGCCAATCTGTCCGATGAAGTTTTAAGTGATATTTGCCCATATGGTGCGCGAAATATTTAATACCCGCACAGAGAAAATTCTGACGTTCAGAAATTTGAGAATTTGAATTCTCAACTAAAGGATATACTCTTTTTGAGTACAGATTTTTCCCAGATTTACTCATTTTAAGAAAAAATACGTAAACTTAGGATATGTTCTGAATTTGAGAAAAAATGTTCTAATAATGAGGCAAAATGTTTGCAAAATCCGTAGTCTAGCGTTCTGACATGTCCGAACCAGGTAGCCAACACCCAAGGTCTTGTGGTTCCGAATTCACTTCGAGTTGTGTGTTTCTTGTTTTTTTGTTTTTCGTTTGTTTTTATTTTTATTTTAATAATGCTTAACTCTTTATCATTTCTAAAAAATACAGCAAATATTTTGGTGAAAATACGAATTTGCCCTTTCAAAGAAAATAGTCTTGCTTAGTGACAAGATAAAACATGCTTGGACGAATGGTTAAGGCTTACATCTAGAGCGCGAATGGCCACGGCATGTGCTTTTCATAAAAATATTTCGTAAGTAAAATGATTTCATTTAACATGTAAATTATAAATATGAAAATTAATTATGAATTATTATGTTTATAAAGAATCAATTTTAGCTCTACAAGTGGACAAAAAATTAGATTTCTTTACAAACAATAAAAATGAAAGATACTGTTACTTACATTTTTGGCCGATTTATTTTGCTAAATTCTTATTTTGAGAAAAAATACTTGAAAAAATCACTTATGCACTCAATTTGAGTGAGAATTTTTTATTTTGGCTTTTTTTTGAGTACGAATATTCTCAGATTGAGTGCAATATACTTGATTAATTATCTCTGTGCAGACTCTTCAACTTTATAAGAGTCGTATTTAAAAACGAAAGACATCTAGAAATTATCGGATGCTATGGACTTTTTGGAGCAGCGGCTGTGTTCGACTTGCCTATCAAAAAGACTTCCGGTACGCAAAATAATTATAGCTTTTCCAAACCTAATAATGTTTCAATTTGGAGTGATCGGTGGCCAATCTGCTAAATGATGGGACATTCCGTAGCCCAATGTCACAAATTTATAGGGATGAATACCTATCCCACAGAGCGAATGGATATCGCAAAAAAGGTGCAATTATGCACAAGATGTCTTTAACATCTTAACGGGCAGAGAATTACAAGCGAATAATTGTGTTCGCTTTGTAATAAAACCCATCACACAATGCTTCATTTAAATACTCAAAAGAGAGAAAAAGTCAGCAATTGTGTGACGGCAACTCAAGCATTACTTGCAACCGCAAGAATTAATGTAAAATGGCCATTAGCGAGTTTGAAAGCTTAAAAGCGCTGATTGACAGTAGATTCCAAAGCCCTATTTTATCAGAATAAGTAGCACAAATATTAAAGCTACCAAAAATAAAATCTAAAGCTCAGATTAGTGGGATATCTTCTGAAGGTACAATCCTATCAAAATACAAAACAAAAATGGTAATAAAATCTTCTAAATCTTCTAAATCTTAAAATCCATTGGTTACCGAGGCAATATTATTGCTAAAATTAATAAAAGCTCTTCCTATTAGAGAAATAAATATAAATAAATCAATATGGCAACATTTCTCGTTAGTTGACCAGGACTTTAATAAGCCAGGCCGAGTTAATGTAATTATTGGCTTAAGAGCGCTGATTGACAGTGGATCCCAAAGCACTATTATATCAGAAGTGGTAGCACAAATACTAAAGCTGCCAAAAATAAAATCTAAAACTCAGATTAGTGGGATATCTTTTAAAGGTACAAGTGTATCAAAATAAAAATGGTAATAAAATTCCCTAATTCTTAAAATCACCAAGGCAATAATATTGCCAAAATTAATAAAAACTTTTCCTATTAGAGAAATAAATATAAATAATTAATTTAAAATTGCAAAATTTCTCATTAGCTGGCCCGGACCTTAATAAGCTATGCCGAGTTGATGCACATATCTTAAAGAAAGATATTGCAAAATTAATGGCCTGTTAGGTCAAAATACACATTTTGATTGAATTATTTCTGGTACTAAGAGTACTGATTCAACAGTTGCAAATACAATTGAAGTACAAGATTTAGAACGATCCTGGGACTAAAAAAAAATTTTGATAAAAATTACATTGAAACTAAATTCGTAAAACCAATTTTATTCAAGCCACAAACCGAAATTTGCAAGCGCAGCAAGAAAGTTAGACGAAGAGTTGTCGAAAGCAATACCAGAAAATTCCGATAGAAGATAGAAGAAGTATATAAAGGTGAGGAGGAGAAAGTTCGGGTAGTTAAGGTCAAGATGCAAGATGCATGTATTTCTCGACCGATCAGCATAATTTGCCCTCTTATAGGAATAAAGGATACCCAAAATTGTTTGGAGACCATTTAAAAGCCACTTAATTAACCATAGTGCAGAAATTGATAGATTATCAACAGATTTAGCACATTTAAATTTACATCACATATCTGGTCATACACCCAGAAAAAAGTAGAACGAATAATTTTAGCACGAACGTTCTTGAAAATCGGCCGAATAATTCTTAAAATTTTTAGGACGAACGTGTACAGAATAAGTACGGGTCATACTTGATAATAGTATTTACAATTTTTTTTTTTTAACACACAGAGAAAATATATTTTATAGCTTTAATTCTGATTATAATATCTATAAATAATAACAGAATTATAAAAAAAGCATTTAAATCTATAAATTAAGCATTTTTTCACTAGCAGTCATACGATTATACGTTAATTTTGTACATTTGAGCACATTTGTGTATATCGATGTGTATCGATCGATATCTTCTTTTCGGCTAGTCGATCGAAAAGCTGCCTTACTTTAAAACGAGAAGTGCGCAAGTAAGAGATCCGAGTCGCAGCGTAAAAAAATGGAAAGAGAATCGCCCAAAAAGCTAGAGGACGCGTTGGAAGAAATGGGAATGCAGGGTGTGCTGCCGTACCTGCAGGGTAAGTAATTGTGCATTAATGTGAAACAGTAAACTATTAGCAAATGTGGTAACATAAAAGAGAAGCGATGTCGTCAATAAAATTAAAATTCGCGTGAATTAAGTTAACTTACGAATTAAAGTAAAACAAACTAATACTTTAATATAACAAAACGGAGTAGTCGTTAATAAAATTAAATTTCGCGCGAATTACATTTTTGTTAATGTGTTTATGTGCCTCTTTCCTGATTCCGAAAAAGACAAAGTAAAATGGAAAGAAAAAGCAACGGTAAAACGTTCGCACGCACACATAACAATGCAAAACATTCTTGTGCCAGTTATCGCGACTTTTTCCAATAAAAACTAGTAAAAATAAGAATTGGTGTTAAATCAGAGTTTATAAAAAATAAATAAAAAGGCTGACGGAATTTTTTACAAGGGCACATTTACATACATATGTATATACATATGTGAACGAGCGCTTTACCGTTCCTTTTTGTTTTCTATTCCTCTTTTTCGGAACTCAGTGCGGTACAGTTGCTTTTTTTTTTCTTAGTAAAAAAAGAAGGAGTAAATTCGTGTCCACACATGTACATGCATACGTTTGCTGCTTGTTGCTGTTTTTTTAGTTCGTGTATTGGTATTTGCTTCTTAGAAAAATCATTTTAATTGTTTTTATATTAATTTCATACAGAAGCTGGAGTGACTTTGTCACTATTAGAAAGTGTGACAGAGGAGGAGCTAAAGGAAGCAGTTCTCCAATTGGGACTGCGTATGCTATTCAAGCGGAAGCTTACAATTTGGAGAGAAAAAAATGTAAGTTTAATAATAGACATTTTTTAGAGTAGTTTTTAACGCAATATTTTATTTAGAAAATTACCAAGGTCAGCGCAGGCCAAAACGAAAACGAGACCACTTTTGTGCTCCACAAGGTAATTATTTTTTATAAATTATAATTTTTTTTTTTAAATTTTTTATATATAAAGTGAACAATTTATTTTTGTTGCAGAGCATTCGTTCGATTATAGAGGCGAAGGAGCATGGAAAAACGTTAATTAATAAAAGGAATCTTGTTCAGGTGGATAGAATCTGGCTGATCAGCGCAATAGTTGAGGAAGCCATCAACAACAATTTAATAATTTGTTAAAGGAAAAGTTTTCGGACTGCAACGAATTCCATTTGTATGATATATTAATTTTTAAAGGAACTCGGTACAAAATCAATTACTACTTAGGTGTAATATTAAGTGATTTTGAGTTATTTAAAATTAATTTCTATATGCCAACCAATTAAAATTACAAACATTGATAAACATTTTCGCGCATACGTAATTGGCTCTGCTAAAGAATATTGTATTAGAAAGTTAAGTGAATTCGATACTGCTCCTTTGCATTTATATCCTGTAAATAATAATAAAACTCTTGTTCGTATTAAATATGTATAAGCTTCTTAAGACAAATTGTTCTTATATATGTCAAAATATACAATACAAAAGTTGTACTTTAAAATATTAAGAAGTGAATCAGATACTCAAATACTTTTCATTATGAAATTATATTCTTAAGTTAAAAACGTTTTATACTTAAGAAAAGAATTGTTTATTCTTCAAATAAATATTTATTTCTTGAATAAAACATGATTTGTTCTTAAATTAAAAATATTCATTCTTTATTAAAGAGGGTTTGGTTCTTAAAAGAAGAATGGTTTACTCTCCAAATAAGAATATTTGTTTCTTACATGAAAAATACTTCGTTCTTGAATATAAGAGTATCATTCTTTAACTACGAATTTTTCTGACTTAAATTAAAACTATTCGTACTTAAATTAAGAACTGTTCATGCTTAAACGAACGTTTTTTATACTTAATGTGTTCACTTGCACAGTTTAAACTAAGACACTTTAATACTTGAATAAAGAATTTTTCGTTCTCAAACCAATATCTTTCGCACTTTCTTCAAGCACTTTTGAGTACTTGGACTGATGACGTTCGTTCTTAAATGTAGAAATTCGGGATTCAATAATTCGTTCTTGAATATAGTCTTTCGTTCTTGAATCAAAAAAATTCGAATTTACCCTACTTTTGACATCGTTCGTTCTTGAATTGACATCGAAATTCTTGATTTTTTCTATGAGTGTACTTCTTTAATTATATGTATGTTGATCGTTGTTATTTTAATATACAGGCAATTGCAAGCCATAACTTTTGAAGCCCGTTCACAAAATGCTTAAATATTAAAGCGCAATTGGCAAATTAGCAAAATGTTTCTATATTAGAAAATGTTGTATTTTATATGTAAATTTTAAAAACTACACTCCTAACCTTTCTGGCAGAATGTTCAAAAATGAACACGCATAAATATAAGTATATGAACTGAACATAGCAGCCACTTGAGTCAAACAAAATATACATATATACACATAACATTTACAATGACCACCTGCGAGCGGTCATAGAATGTCTTAGACTATAAGTGATATCAGGCTAGTTCTGATCTTCCTTATCGCACTTAAGAATGTTTTCTCAAGTTAGGGATAAACCAAACACTCCGTGAGATATTAGAAATATGTTAATAATCCCGATTATAAGATTTTATGAGCTTTGTGCATGGCATTTTGTCAATCGATCCAGAGCCATAATTTACGATCTGTTACCTAAACCATGCAAGGGAACAGTTGTTGTAAGTGCAGGCCACTTGAGCCTCTAAATAATATCACTTAAAATGTTTTCCACACTGAACAAAGGACTTGTGCGCGGGTAAACATATGGCTCTTCCGCTCAGGGCAAACAGGTGCGGTCACTGCGTAGGCCATAGATAAAAATAGAATATGAATCACACCAATGTTGCTTGCTAAGAAAGTTTATGAAATAACTGTTTGAAATTATAACTGCAAATGAAGACGTGTCATTATTTGGGCGTTCTTTTCAAAAGCAAAATGAAAAAAAAAAAAAAAACTTCGGCAAGCCGACGTTTATATGCCCTTGCAGCTATTGCAAAAATTAATAATTCTTGAAAACACTAAAATTTGGATTTTTATGCGTTTAAGTCTAAAAACGTTGTTGCTATGATGATTTTCAACTCAACTTTTCAATCGTTTCAATGGCAGCAATATGTTATCGTTTTCTGATTTAAATAAAAGTAAAACGTAATTCTGAACTGTCAAATTATTTTTAACTCAAAAAAGAATTAAAAAAGAAATATTACAAAATAGAAAAGATAAATAAAATTAAAATCGTAAATCTGAACTATTAAATTATTATTTCCAAAAGAATTAAAAAAAAATAATTTTTTGTATTTTAATATTCCGGTTGTTGTAATGTGAGCTGAACATCACTTCATCTCAAAAAACTAAACAAAAATATTAATGAAGAAAAAGCAAACTGTTCTGCAAGCCGAAATTTAAATACCCTTGCAGCTATGGCAAAATTAAATATTCTTAAAAATATTTAAATTTCGGTTTATATACGAATATGTTTAATACCAGCTCAATGGTTCAATTTTTCCAATGGCAGCTATTTGAAATTGTTTTCCGGTTTTAAAACAATTAAAAGCGTAAATCTGAACAATCAAATTATTACAAAGTCCAAACGAATAAACAAAAAAAATTAAAATATAGAGTAAAATATTAATATTCCGATTGTTGCCATGGGTGCTACATGATATAGTCGTGCTAAGTGCTAATTTATTTTCTTATTTTTTCCGATTGCTTTTATGGGAGTCGTTCCGTCTTATATACTACCTGCAATAAGAATACAACTTTTGGGAAAGACTCATGCAAATAGCATTAAAACAAAAAGACAAGTTTGCGTAGAAACTGATGGACAGACGGACAGACAGACGGACGGACAGACGGATAGATGGACATGGCTAGATCGACTCTTCTAGTGATGCTGATCAAGAATTTATATACTTAATAGGGTCGGAAATGTATCCTTCACTGCGTTGCGAACTTCTGACTGACAATATAATTCCCACTGTAATGGTATAAATATAATAAAACGGCTAGATCGACTGTCCTTGTGAGGCTGATCAAGAATTTAAATACTTAATAGGGTCGGAAATGTATCCTTCGTTGCGTTGCAAACTTCTGACTAAAACTATAATTCCCACTGTAATGGTATAAATACAATAAAACGATAAAGCAAACTTGATTTCTTAGTAAAAATTCATTGCAAACAAAGTATCAATTATATCAAACCTAAATAGCAGGCATTATTTGCTATAAAGTCAAATTGATAAAAACAGAATCATCATATGTCATGCCTACTCTATTTTTATACCCTTGCAGAGGGTATTATAATTTCAGTCAGAAGTTTTCAACGCAGTGAAGGAGACATCTCCGACCCTATAAAGTATATATATTCTTGATCAGCATCACTAGGAGAGTCGATCTGGCCATGTCCGTCTGTCCGTCCGTCTGTCCGTCAGAAAAATATTATAACTTTGGTGTTTTTTAAATTTTTTTTAGTTCTTCGAGATATACTAATGGTTAAATATTTCAGAATTACGGTTTTAATTTCATCAAAATCGGACGACTATAGCATATAGCTCCCATAGGAACAATCGTATAGCTGCCATAGGAACTATCGAATAATTAAGCTGCAAATCATTGTAGCTTCAATGTTTTTAAACATACACGCAAGTAAATCATAATTTTAACATTTTCAAGAGTATTTAGTTTTTGAAATAGCTGCAAGGGTATATGAACTTCGACTTGCCGAAGTTTGCTTGCTTTCTTGTTTTGAATTCATTTTAAATTCGATAGCAAACTAAAATTGTTATTGCTAAATATATTTTAGCTTTATAGTTTTTTATTATTATCCGATCCCATTATACTTGGGCGTTGTAAAAAAGCAAATTACCGCAAATAATGCTGCTGCAGTATACATATGTATGCATGTGTTCTGTTGTTTTCTGTAATTCTTAGTAATTAACGATCTTCAAGTGCATGCAACAATGTCACAGACATACATACGTTCTCGTAAGTGAATACATACAGACACTGCAGCAGCGTCATTTAATTAGTCCAAAAGAATTTCTAAAAAAATTACAAAATAAATAAGTGAAATTTTTTTAAGTTTTTTATTTTTTTACTGTTCCTATGGAAGCTCTATATTATAGTCATCAAACTTTGATGAAATTTAAACCGTTATTTTGCAATATTTAGCCATTACTATATGTCGAAGAACTAAAAAAAAAAATGAAAAAACAGCAAAGTTATGATTTTTTCATTTAATTTTCCGTTTGTTCCTAAGGGAGCTATATGCTATAGTCGTCCGATCCGATGCAGAAAACTGAGAGACTTGTTTGCGTAGAAACGGACGGACAGACGGACATTGCTAGATCGACTCTACTAGTGATGCTGATCAAGAATATATATACTTAAGAGGGTCGGAAACGTCTCCTTCACTGCGTTCCAAACCTCTGACTTAAATTATAATACCCTCTGCAAGGGTACAATAAATAATACAAATTATTATCACTTTGCTGTTTTTTATTTTTATTTAGCTTTTCGATATATTGCAATGGTTAAATATTTCAGAACTACGGCTTAGATTTAATTAAAATCGGGCGACTATATCATATAGCTCCCATGAAAACAATAAGAAAATTAAGAAATTTTTTTTTAATGTAACTATTATGTTTGTAAATTTTTTAAATTTTCTTTTTGACTTATTAATAATTTGACAGTTCGGAATTCCCCTTTAATTATATAAAAATGAAAAAACGATATCGTATAGCTGTTATAGAAACAATCGAGTAATTGAGCTGCAAATTATCAAAGCTTCAATGTTTTTAACATCCTCTTTACGCGAGTATAAATCATAATTTTAATGTTTTCAAGAATATTTAATTTTTGCCATAGCTGCTGCTATATGAACTTCGGCTTGCCGAAGTTTGCTTCCTTTCTTGTTTTAGATAAATAAAAAAAATGTGTTAATAAAAAACTAAAAAAAATTGAACGTGCTTCTTCATTTTTTTTTGAATATTTATTCGCTATTTCAGCAAATGCGCGTTATTGGGTCTGGTAAATGCAATAGAAATAAATTACTTGGAGTAACATATTATATATATATATACATATCTCTGACTGACACAATTAAATCTTGTTTTTGCGGCGATCGACTTTATATATTAATACAAAATTAAAACTTTATTCTATTATCTAATTTATTTTACGTACCGGTGAAAACTTAAAAGTAAATTTAAACAGGAAGAAGGTATGAATATTAGGTTAACACGATGCTGATCAAGAATTTGTATGTAAAATTATGATATCCACAAATTTCAAATCTACAGCCACACTAAATCTTTTTTTAATGAGAATCCTCTTTACAAGAATGTATAATTCGAAATTGTTCTTAGCTTGTCAGTTATATTTATAGTGAAGAATATTTCTTCGATACTAAGTATTATAGCCTCAGCTTTTCGCTTTTTATCCTCAAGAAAGGTATATTATTTTTAGTATTTTAAAATGTATTAAAACACACTGTTGGGTATGGGCCATTCCGAAATGTAAAATTCTTAGCGTTGGCTCCGCTTTTAACACCGCGAACCTTTTCACAGAACTGAACCGAACTAAATAAGCACATCCTTAAGCTGTCTTTGCTTTTATATCTGAAAGGTGGCGACGCAACAGTGTGCCATCATACTGGTGAGTTTGCGTGTTTCCATAAACTTACGTGTGGGTGTTGGTTGGTCGATGTTGAATTCCTTGGTCGATGTTGAAGTAAAAAAATATAAGAAATACGGTACTTCGTATTACCTGAAATGATAGCAAATTTTCTTTTTATTTTTGTGGTATCATTTTTGGTATCGGTCCACATGCTTATCGTTTTAAATACTTAACAGATAACTAGAAGATATCAACATCCAAAATTTATTAAAATATAAATCTATTGCTTATTAATTGTTTTAATTTCTTCTTTATTGAACAA